TCCACTTCTTCACTTCCATCTTTTCCATGCTTCTGGCCTCTTACAATTGAAATCTTTCAGAGCCAGAAAATGAAAAGAGATCCTGTAAACTTTTGACTGTTTTAATTTTTCTAAAAAACATTCCAAATATTAAGGATGCATAATTTTGTTTTGAAATTTCAGGTTAAAAGAAAAGAATATTTCAACAAAGGGATAATTTTTTGATGGGAAAGTCTTTCAAGTGAAAAAATTGAGCTAACAGTGCTCATGTTCACGGTACTGAAGTTTTTCGAGCTCACGCTTGGGAAATGCCTCAGCCACAAATCTCTGGAGGTTTGGAAAAAATATTGGGGAGTTCATGTTTGTATGGAATTTAATGTCTTTCTTCAGCAACCTGTGTTGGACACCGTAAGAGACAAAATTTTGGACTAGACAGACTTTTGATCCAATGCTATAACAAGACTTTGGCTCTTCTTCTGGCACTGAAGTTCTTTTGAATTTATATTCAGGAATAATAAACCTAATGAGGCAGACCTCAAAACTTTTATGGTATCAAACTGATAATTATAACAGACTTTATAATGTAAAATGCACGTAATACGCATAAAGGGTACTAAAATAGTTCAGTAAGTCCAGTAGCATTAACTTTCAATGGCTAGCTGGTGATGACACACATCGTGCTCCGTTATTGCATTAAATCCTTAAAACTAGCATATTTTTTAAGCATGCGAACTTAGTCAGAGAAAGATGAGGTGTTTTGATCCTGACATTAATTTTATTAGAAAGAGAGTGCCAGAACAGACTCTTCTTCAACATATAATTGCAGAGGACCTTGTGATTCTTGGCCATGACATCACAGCAACAGAGAAAGGAAAAATTAAGGACATGCATTCCTTTCAAAACACCCAATCACTGCATTAACTTCCTTTTCTTTTCCATCTCTCGCCATAGTGGACTTACAGATAGATATAATGGACTTCCAAGGGATACAAAAATTGGACCTGAGAGGTTCTTGCATTGAAGCAATAGTGAGAAATTACACAAAACTAAGTGTTGACAACCATGAACTAAGGGATGGAGATTCTCAAAGCTGCAAGAAGCAGTCAGGAGAAGTCAAAGATTTGCCTTTCATACATACAGATTTACATACACCCACCTGCTACTGTGGTCTTTGAGACTCTTTTCAAGCATGGCAGAAATAGCAGTATGTATTAGAGTCGTGTCTTCACTAGTTTATTCAACTGATTAGAGCACAGAAAACCTGCTGTGAATTCTGAAGTACTTTCTTTAACTAGATCTAGTAAACTACCACTAATACAGTATACTAAGGAGGCAGTTCTATAGTTTAGGCAAGCTTATTTTTTATACCAAGCATGCGTTTTTCTTTTCTGCATTTTATCCCATCATCTCTACTCACCTCGAATTATTACAACTAGCTCCCCTCTTCACTCAATTTTACAGTCTGCTTTGAAACAGAGGTATCTTCTGTAGCCTTTTGCTTGGGCAAGCCTTTGCCCAAACTTTTTGAACTTAATTTAGTCTTTCCGCAGAAGTCAGCGTACATCTAGCCTCCAAATCACTTTTACTGCTTTTTTTTTTCTTTCTTTCTTCTTTCTTTCTTGTAATTTTTTTCTAGTCATAGGATGCCAGAATGGAATGCAGTATTTCAGGCATAGTCACCGGTGCTAACAGGGAGGGAAAGTATAATTTTCCTCCTTTGCTGACAGAATGTGCGACCCCCACAAAATAATCACTGTCCTCCTTGTTCCTCCCACCCCCTTCCAGTTTTTAAATATGCATTCCTTTCAAAACACCTGGGATGTAGTAACCCACAAAGATGCAAAGACTTGAGATAAAGCAGGAGGAGGCTAGGAAGGTAAAGCAAAAGAGGAAGAGTTCAGTAGAGGAGGACTTTATAAGCCTACATGCACGACAGTGGTCAAGAGCAGGGAACAAAGGATCAATGATCATGGAGGAAAAGAAGCAGGGAATCAATTCACCGATTCATCGATTTTTAATCTTGTGAATTCAATCGTACTTGTAACTAAGCAGAGGCAAATCCTAACCAGGCAGCGAGGTTGCATTTTATGTGCATCTGCTTTGTCAGATCATAAACAACAGCACAACGTGTAAGACAGTAGAGAATCAAACCCCATATGTTCTCAAATCTGCTGAGCCTTTTATATGCTTTCTTTTTTTTTTTTTTAATGGGGAATTCATCAAATTCAGCTCTTCCCTACAAAGAGTTCCCATTTCAACAGATGAACTTGTTTTCATGAGAAAGGCTTTACAGGGAAATACTCCCAACTTGCAGTCCCCTGCAGCGAGAGCTCCCACAGCCCTGCATGCTGAAGCCAACTGCTCTTCCCCGCCGGGGAAGCAGGGCAAACCGGGAAACACCCTTGGCACCGCCAGTGGCTGCGAAACCTCGGCACGGCACAGCCTGCGGAATGAGGAACGAGTGGGACTGTCATCTGAAGTGTGAGGAACACATTGGCCCAGATTCCCTGCAGATCTGGGTTTCTGCTTTTCAGAGCCAGGAGGAGAAGCAAAGTGTTTCAGATCTCCCTTCCTTCCCCCACTGCAGCTAGGCGACTGTCCTAACCTATGCCATCTTTTAGAAGTCCCCTAGATACCAGTAGCAGATGTGAGCTGGAACCCAGCACCTCGATCCAACCAAGTGCCTTCCCCACACGCTACAACTAAGACAAAATTGCCCAAGAACCGGGATTTTGTGTTCAGCGTTGGCTGAGAGTGACTGTGTGCAGCACGGCAGGTCACCATGGCACAGAGGAACGCCAATCCAACAGATCGTCTGCTCTGTCAACTTCCCAGCATTGCCATCAGACTTCCAGATTGCTGCTCCTTGAAAGGACATCCCAAGTGGACATGAACAGCATACAAGCTTGCTAGCTGAAGCCTGCTCACATAAACCACCCTGCAGTGAGAATTGGAGGGATACGGCATAATTAGAAGGCAAGTCCTTTTAGTCCTTCAAAAAGGACTAAAATCAGAAGGCTTAATTTGCAAAAGGAAGAGTTTTACTGGCTGTAGGGATTTACTCTAAATAGAATTTACATTAAACTTAGTCTACATCATAGCACTAAACCTCAAATTGTTAAAATCAAAATAATGAAAAAAAAATAAAATCCATATAGCAATCTATCAAAGGCAGCTTGAAAGTAAAAGACATGCATTGTTCCTGAGCAAGAAAAGAATAAAACCAAGATATAAAGTTTAGCCTGACCTGTTTAAGCACGTCAAATTCTCAGTTATATTCTGATGAACTTGTAAGCGGTTATTCAATTTGGCTCCTGTTGCAAATACTCTACATGTCAGAGCATGCGGAGCTGGAGTACGAACAGAGGGATGCGCACGCAACGGCAGCACCTGGAACACAGCAGGTCCTCTTCCCAAGGCGTTTTTCCTAGTGTATTCTTGACCCCAGCTCTGGTAGCCAGCTTCGCTGGAGGAAGTCACCATCGTTTCCTTCTCATTTGAGTAACAAGTTTCAACAATAGGCCACTACCGGGAAACAGGGGGAACAGGTAAAAAGTCTGTCTTCACAATTTCACCAGTTTTCAGTGTTGGTTATATTCAGGTTGGGGCACTTCACCTCCTGTCATCCCTTCAATCTGCACCTAAGGCACGCAGGAGTCCCCAGAATTTGCGTTATTACAGATACCTAGTTAACATATTTATAAAGACACCCCCCAAAAAAGTTTAGTTTTAGCTAAAATCTTTTTTCTATTAGTACGGCAAAAGTTTAATAAGTTTCCACAGTATTAAAAATCAGAATTTTTTCTATTAGGTTGACTTCTGATATTTCAGTATAAAAATGGATAGCATACAAGAAAATGCAAACATGGCCTTGTCTTCTATAGCAATTAATGGCTGCATGATTTCCACATAGATAATCATAGGATTTACCCTGCATTCATCATATAGAGACAGAGACAACCAGAACAGAGCAGCAGATCATTTGGACAGGGTGTTTTTGTGTGGGGGACAAAGTGCTAAGTTAAGAAAAAAAAAAATTACATGAAGATTGTCTTCTGTATTGCTTCAATTTATATAAAAATTTAAAAATATCACATATGTTTAAGTGCACCTAAAATGAAAACCGTAACATGAATGTTTATGGGTGTGAGCATGTGAATGCTGAATTCAAACAAGAATTCAAGGCAGCATTTGGTTGCCTAAGTATTTTTATGGCACCATTTTAAGAATTCTGATGGTGTTGCTTCAAATGAAAGCGAGTCCTGAAGGAAACAGAAGGTGTCCTTTGGAGGACCTGCCGGATCTCTCCATGTGAGGAAGCAGATGGAACTTGCAGCTTGTTCTTCCACCTTTGTGGGAAGATATTTTCAGTAAAAGAAAAGAATTCTGGTATCTGCATTATTGCTCACTTGGTGTATAATCTTTAGCACATCATAAAAACCCTTCCAAGGCCACTTCCTATGAAGTGCTGAGTATTTTCATGCAATATTGAGACAACGTAGAAGCATCTCACAGAAGAAACACAAATTTCCCTGTCAGTTAAAAAAACAAATTAAAAGATGTTAGCTATTGCATGAAGTCCTGCTCCACACGCTTCCAACTCCTTGGCCATCAGCTGGAGTCAGGCCACTGAGAATCTCATAAAAGGCATCCAGCATTGTTTAGTAACTGGCCAAAGGGCTTTATGAAGATTATTTAGGATGAGATTCATCTTCCAGCTTTTCCTAGGGATAGTGGACTGACATGAGCATCTACAAATGCCACTTTATTACTTCCTAAGGTGAGAGCCTTAAAAGGGGTATAGCAACTCCAAAAATGTCAAGCAGTATAGTTCTTGCAGGTTGTCCCCATGACTCTCTGCATTCCTTCAGGTAGGTGCCACATTTTCACTTTGGGGGAGCTGAAATACTTGGGTACCAATTTTCAAAAGTAAGCAGTTCTCATCACTGTTGCATGAACCAAGATTTAATCTTCCGGAGGAGGACAATCGGAGGTTTCCTCCATGATTCCAGAACACCAACATGTCACCCAGCCTCAGCCTGGAGCAGCAGAACCACCGAGAGACAGAAGCAGTGCCTCAAACCCCCACCTTAACGTGAGCTTCTCAGTCAGCTCATAGGAATATCATCTACGGGAACAGTTTCCAATTTGAGTCCTTTAGCCAAGACCATACCTTTTCAAATACTAGATTTTAACTCGTTCAAAAGTTTTGCATAAAATTTATGCAAAAAGATGTGCAATGTGATTCTATGGGCTGTGAAATGCAAATTCACAAATCAATTATTGTAATAGCCAAAACTGACCTGAACATACATCAGGGGCTTTTTCTTCTGTTTCCTGGTACAGATTACAAAAATGTCCAGGAAATCCACTCAGTAAAACTGTATTCACCAGAAAGTACTGTTTCCTTTTTGGAGAACAGTTATTTTACTTAAGAAGAAAAGAGAGCAGATAAACAAGCAGTTTTCTCCCTCTTGCAAGTTTAAGCAGGCTTAGCAGGTGCAATTTACTACTGGAATAACAGGAAATGATATGAAAATATTTGTTATTTACTATTTGCATTACTGCAGCACATGCAAGCACCTGTCAGGGAGCACTCCACAAGCACGTAACAAAATCATTTTCCCTGCCCAAACAGCGAAGCTGCTGTACAGGGCAGGAGGCACAGACCCATCTAGACAGTCACGGAGAGCTGGGAGCCAGTAGGACAACTTTGGTCAGCACCATGAGCAGATCAGTGTAATTGCTTTTAATTGTACTTCCCATTAAAATCAACATTGTATCTAAACATTAAAAAAAAAAAGCAAACGGTTATGGGTACACTCAATAAGTATTTATTCCATGATTATAGTATGACATTATACAAAGACATTTGGATTCGGCACTCAAATACCCTTTCATAAACTAAAAAACTCCTGCAGGGTAGTATCGCTCTTTTTCAAACTCAACATCAAAGCAATAACTGCCTAAACTTCTGGAACGGCTTGCAAGTCCAAGATCTCACTTCTATCACTATTACTTCAGCCACTCTGTATTTCCTTTTCCCCGTAACCTTCATCTAAAGAGCGTCCCAGTCCATCTGCTGTGCAGCCCCTACTTGCCACCCTGACCCCAGACAGTTTGTGTTCTGCACCATAATACCACTGTCAGGCCAGAGAGGGGAAAGCAATCCTACAGGTATCAGTGTTTTAGCTCATTATTCCTCAGGCTATGGGGGGGATTTTCTCAAGACTTAAAAATGGATTCATCTGTTCATTTCCCCTATGGCTTTTGACAGCCGTAAGATTTCTGCTGACTTTACCAAAAAAAAGCATACCAACCTGAAAGCATTAAGGGCCACGCGCAGAACTGCTGTGCATTTGGGGAAATCTAAAGGGAGGCAAAAATGGAAGCAGGTTCCCACCTAGTTGATCAGGAAAGCAGAAGGACCATACCTCTGACATACGGGGAGAAGGAAGTCTTGTGTAAGCTGTATCAGAAGGGTAAGGAAAGCCCAAAGGAATCACAGATCCAAAGTGCTTGCATTCGTGTTGCTGAAACTGTCATTATTTGAATATATTGGTATGTCCTCTGCGTTAAATAGATGTTATTTAACTATCGCAATCCCTTCGTAGGGACCAGTGGCCCGATACAGCTCCCATAATAGCTCCCACCATTCACCTCTTCCCCAAATATCCCCTCTGTGGCGTAACCCAGGCGAGTTCCTCTCCAGCAGCACAGCATCTGTACCGCCGGGGCTGTTCAGCCGTGCCCGGGCAATGCTGGGACAGCCACAGCAAATGAAACTGGTAAATATTTTACATATAGATAGGTATTTAGGCTTTTTCCTCACCATCATAAAGTTTAAATCTCACACTTAAGCTGCCAATTTGCAGCTTTTCTTCCCCTCTCACCCCCCTCCTTTTTTTTTAATGATAGCTATTATTTATTTTACGACTATTAAAGATCCCGTGGGGGTTTCGGGGTTTTGTTTTGTTTTGTTTTGTTTTGTTGTTGTTGTTCAGTTTTGGAGCTTATTCGGGGTGTTTCGATGCTCCGCCGGGGCCCGCGGACCCCCCTTCGCCTCCTCCCCGCACCCGGGCGGGTTTCGGGCGGGGCCCACGACGGCCCCCGCCCCAAAAAGCCCTCTGGG